TTCAGAGGACGAGTGGGACTTGTTTCATGAGGAGCTGGACGATTTCTATGAGATTTACCTATAGCAGCCCCGACCGCCGGCGCCCTACATCCACCCCTCACCTCCCCGTATATACTAGACACTAGAATGGACTGTCTTGTGCGAGTGATGGACAGTAGCTTTCCCTCCACCCCTGTATTGTGGCAGTGCCTTTAAGCAGGCCATTAATAATGAACTTCTAAAATATTTAAAAAACAAAAAAAAGGAAAAACCAACAAGTCGGTGCACTCGTGCTAAACATTTTCTAGACATTTATTCTTGTGAGTCTTTCTCGTGTGGTTCATGTTAAAAGGAAACGATAAAAGAACTCGGTATAAAATTTAACAAAGCTTATAACTTTCTTCAAATAATAAAAATTGTCAAGTTTATTTGTGGGCGAGGGTTTGACTTCTTATCTAGCCAGGTGTTTGTACATAATCCTGAGACTTTACACTCGAGCTTACTCGGCACCATTTACTGTAATCGTGAGGCCGTGTTGTAAGATTTTATAGATGGTTTTTGAAGATCCCAATCTTTTTCTTTATGAACGCTGATGACAGCAAATATATTGTGCAGATGGTTAATAAATTAGCTGTAATGACGACATCTTCCACCGCCACATATTTCCTACAGTTCACGCCATTAAAGCATTTTATACCTCAACATAAACTGTAGAAAATCCAAACGATGGACTAAAGTGTCCTGATGCAGGACGGGCATCTTTGTTACCGTCAGGCTTCACTTATTGAACAGCTCCAAAAACTCAGAGCAAACAAAGGAGTTTGTTGTTTGGAACAAATTAGGTCCACATTGTGACTGATGGCAGCTGAACAAAGGTTCTTCAGGAAACCCTCCTGAGGCTCCGTGTCGCCTGTTTCTCACCTGAGACGTTGAGCTCAGATCTCTCTGACACATCAGTGTGATTCTCACTGTTACAGCAGTACTACTGAACAAAACGCAAGTGTGTCGAAGCCACTAGTGGACAGAGTTCGTGAGCTGCTCAATAACCGAAGCGTCTGCTAACCCCGTGCACCCGACGGAGCGGTCTGTGGGTGATCACCTGTATTTGGACATGAGGAGAGTATTTGCCCCGTACGTGCCAGCTGCAGTATCGGTCAGATAAATGATGTAAGCATGGACACTTTTGAAAACTACCAGCCTCTAACCCCAACCCCGGGGCCTCGAGGTAGCGCAGAGCAAGCCCTCCCAGAACCAGCTCCAAAGTCACTGCTTGAGCTCAAACGGACTTCAGTAAGCCTTGAAGCTGAGACGCTGACCCACACTCCTGACAGCTGGTGCTGACTTGTTGAATGCCACTGGAATGCATATGTTTATACTGAAATGAGTGTTTTCAATGTTCCACAGCCATCCATCTTAACTTGACATTAAAGTTTAAAAATCTTCCTGCTGTGTCGACTTCGTTCATGGATCAGCTTTACTCTGATTCTGATTAGTAGCTGTTTTTAAGAACAAATTTCAGCCTTTGTCACTTTTGTGCGATATAAAACAACAACTCTCATTTAGCTTTACTTTAATGTGTTTTGGATAATTGTCCTCCAGCCTGTGCCTGACGTCTCTGCTTGCTGGAGTTCTTGAACAGCCTTCGGTGCAGAATTCCTTCAGTTGCGAGACATTTAAAAATGTTCTTGAAATTCTAATGAATATTTCCAATAAGATAAGATAACCTTTATTAGTTATAAAAAATTACGAGAAGAAAAGATAAGAAAGAAACTCAGAATGAGCAGAGCTGCTGTAACAGGCTGCCGCACACGGGGGGCGCCGTAAGCTGATGGTGCTAAATGTGTAAACCAGCTGCTGGTCAAACTCTTATGGCCCTTTTTGTGTGGAGATTCAAACTGGGGGTGTCCACAGACTTCTTTTTATGTGCTGTTGTAATGAATTTGTCCCAAATAACAGGCGGTTTACGGTTGCGTATCGATCGTTTCGTAACCTCCTTGCCACCCAAAGTCATACAAACCTTTATTTAGGAAAGCTTTTTTTTATTTTTACTTTTTGGCTGGCTGACCAAAATTACAGCGCGCAGCATCGACTCATCCAAGAGGTCAGAAAAGTCCCCAGAACAACATCCACAGAACTGCCGGCCTCAGTTAAAGTCAGTGTTCACGGCTCCATCATAAGAAACTGGACAAAAGTGTCCTGCATGGCAGAGCCCCAAGATAAAAACCACTGCTGAGCAACAGGAACGTAAAGGTCATCCTGATGACCCCCGAGATGCTCTGTGGGCTGACAGACAACAGTTCAACTTTTTGGAAGGTGTGTCCTGTTACATCTGGCGTAAAAATAACATTTCAGCAAAGGAAGATCATGCCATGGATCAGCCAACATGCTGTTCTGTGGGAAATGGAGCCACGAATTGGTGCTGCAGAGAGTGGCACAACCAGTTAATAGGTTTAGGTTTTCCACACAGGGCCAGGTAGGTCTGGATTTATTTCCCCTTAATAAACACCTGAAAGAGGAATCAGACGAACGAACATTTGGTTGATTGAAGTCCAATCAACTTCATATTTGAACGGAAGAAAAAACTAAGCTGATGAAAATTTAAAGTGAAATCTAATATCAACAGTAAAAAAAAAAAATATGGGTTTTTTGCATCTTTACATGAATGTTTAGATCTGAATTTAACTCCGTTTGTTCACAATTTAATATATTTTGTATACAAGGAAGAGAGAAACCAAAGAACTGATCTGCTGTCAGGGATTCATCCACAGTGTCACAACCCCACCGTGAAGTGAAAGTGGAGAAACGCTGCTGGAGAGTCTTTTGAGGGTTTTATGAGTTATACTGTTTATTCACAGGAGACCATAAACCAGTAAAGAAGAAAGAGCTGTGACACACGTCCTTCTTCATTAACATTTCGGCTCCTTTGCGCTTCTTTGGTTCGTCCTCTGCAGCTCGGATTAAAAGGTAAAATGTGATCATCTCGGTTAAAAGGAAGGAGGAGCGGACTGGGCCAGTGCCCTGTACTGTCTGTGGTCCTTTATGACAGCTCCCGTACGCCAGATGGGCGGCTTGACACAGACCGTTGCTTTAGGAGGAACTCCAGTCCTGTTTGCTCGGAATATGTCTGTTTGTTAATGCTCCAAAATGTAGGTGTGATCTGAAATCCTCCTTTCGGATTAAAGAGGTCTCTGGTCTTTAAAAAGGACTCATTTTCAGTTTTGCTCTTACGCGCGTGCACCTGATGGAGAGGGGACTGGGCGAACATTGAAGCCTGATCTGACCCAACGGCAGCACATGATCTAAGAAACCGAAACTAACAGCAACTACACCGCAATCCAAGCCTTTTCAACAGCAAACCACTATTGTTACATTCTTAGACGTGAACATATGGGGCGCCGTTTGTAAAGTGAAACATGCTGAAATTAACGGCAACATTTTTCCACATTTAGCTCAAAACAAGTCATTTTTTACAACATTTAGTAAAATATTTGTAACTTTTCATATTTAAAACAGAATTTTAAATGTTAAATCTAAATGTTAAATATTCAATCTGAATGTTAAATGTTAAATCTAAATATTATATTTAAATCTAAATGTTAAATGTTGAATTTAAATATTATATTTAAATCTAAATCTAAATGTTAAATCTAAATATTAAATGTTAAATCTAAATATTATATTTAAATCTAAATGTTAAATCTAAATATTATATTTAAATCTAAATGTTAAATGTCAAATCTAAATATTATATTTAAATCTAAATGTTAAATCTAAATGCTAAATGTTAAATCTAAATGTTAAATCTAAATATTTATCTAAATGTTAAATCTAAATAATATATTTAAATCTAAATCTAAATGTTAAATCTAAATATTATATTTAAATAATATATTTAAATCTAAATCTAAATGTTAAATGTTAAATCTAAATGTTAAATGTTAAATCTAAATCTAAATGTTAAATCTAAATGTTAAATCTAAATATTTAGATTTAAATCTAAATGTTAAATGTTAAATCTAAATGTTAAATGTTAAATCTAAATCTAAATGTTAAATCTAAATGTTAAATGTTAAATCTAAATCTAAATGTTAAATCTAAATATTTAGATTTAAATCTAAATGTTAAATGTTAAATCTAAATATTTAGATTTAAATCTAAATCTAAATGTTAAATCTAAATATTTAGGCTAACATGCAAATTTATTGCACGGATCAGCGGAAATACCAAAATAAAAGCTTTCCGAAAACCTTCGGTGCAAAAGTGTGCCGGTAGTGGTCAGACACGTTCTCACTCCCAAAGCATAATAATTTTCGCTAGGTGACAAATTGTCAACATTTTATGCTTTCGGGTACCCAACACGTTCCTAAATTACGGCATCGGAAAAAGGAGAGCACATGAGAACCGTTTGGACTCAATCTACACGTTCGTTCATTTTCTAAAAATCGCTTTGGAAAACACTATTTTACGTCATTTAACTGCTAGTAAAGGTTAGGAATAAGGTTATAGTTAGATAAGGTTAGGTTTAGGGCTGGAACGTCTATTATGGCGGGACCGTCATTCCACTGGAATTCAGCCATAACCCGACCATGAGAAAGCACGTCCGGCGATTTAGCTGAAAACATCGGAAGATCCGTTTTGTCGGCCATCCAAAGGTTCAGCAGTAGTGCACTCTTAGTAGCTGCAGTCTTCACTTCACAATCGCTGCAGCACGCTCGTAGGCAAGAAGTGAAGCAGCACATGGCGGGGAGAAGTGAGGAGAACAGACACAATTTTGCACCAGAGGTTTTCGGGAAGCTTTTATTTTGGTATTTCCGTTGATCAGTACAATAAATTTGCATATTAGCCTAAACATTTAGATTTAAATATAATATTTAGATTTAATATTTAACATTTGATGAAAAGTTACAAATATTTTACTAAATGTTGTAAAAAATTACTCAAAAAAAAATGTTTTTGTAAGGTTTTGAGCTAAATGTGGAAAAATGTTGCCGTTAATTTCAGCATGTTTCACTTTACAAACGGCGCCCCATATGAACATGTGTGAGAAACGAATGGAAATGAGCGCAAAAGCAGAGGGAGGTGGAATCCGTTCCACTAGTCCGTGCCTTTCTTTGCGCCTGGCTGGTTCTCTCCACCTTTAAAGCAGCTAGAGGGAAGAAAACAGTCGAGAGGGAGGCGACAGCGCAAATACAATGGTCACTGAAACTGCAAAAGACAATCCGAAGGCCGATTATTTCCCACCCGAAGCGAGCGATTGCCCCAACTCTCCCATCTCATTTTCCTCCGAAGACGGCCAGCTAAGCAGGAGGCGCGACACCCAGACCACCAGCGGCAGCATCATCCCGGAGGACAGCGGCAGCATCCAGGCCCTGGTCACCTCATCCGCAGCCGCCGCCAGCATCATGACATCAGGGGAGTTCGTGCAGACCGCTCCCCTGCTGGCGCACAAATCCAAGAGGAGCATGCTGTACAAGGCGCTGTGCTTCCTCCTCCTCATCTTCCAGGGCGGCGTTCTGGATTTCTACCTCATCATCTTCACGGACCTGTACTGGTGCTCGTGGATAGCCACGGACCTCGTGGTGATTTCGGGCTGGGGGATTTTCTTCATGAAGAACGCGCGGAGTAAGAGGGAGCGGGCCTGCGGCTTTCACCAGAAAAGCTCCATTTTCGGCTGCAACCTCGGAGAGTTCACCTACGCCTACCTTGCATGGCTCATCTACGTCATCGCCTGCACCCCTAAGGTGGTGCTCATCCTGGAGACCTCCATCCTGGAGCTGATCACGTTAAAGGTCCCGTTCGGAGCGACCGGCTTCAAAATCGTCATGCTGCTGTCTGCGCCGCTGCTCTTCTGCCTCATCAACTCCATCATCGAGGACCTGAACGGTTCGACGCGGCACCACTCCCAGAGCTGCTTCATGGGCACCTGCCTGGACCTGCTGGACAGCTTCACGCTTGTGGAGATGCTGCTAAGGAACGAGATCCCCACGCTTTATCTTAAATACACCGTGATCTCGGTGTACTTTGTGGCCCTGGCCGTGCCGGTGGTCTGGCTGTACGAGCTCACGGCGTCCGAGCTGCGCTGCAGGTGGCTTTGGGCCCGTTTCTCCACGGGCCTGGTGGTTAATGCGCCCCTGCTGGTGGTCAGGTGTTTCCAGGTCTACATCTACAAGATGCCGGTGTCGGTGTTCATGTTCAAAAACATCTTCTTCTTGGCCTGTAAGCTGCTGGAGCTGCTGGAGCAGTGTGTGGCGTTCCGGGGGGTCCGCAGGCTGGCTGGCGGCAGCAACCCGGCCCAGTTCTCCCACTGCGTGTCCGAGAACGACATGTGTCCGCACGGGTATGTCAATACTCTGGCTGTGGCTCAGTCCTAGAGTCGTGGCGGCCGTCTCTGCCTGTGACGGCAGGACAGACATAGCTGGAACCTGGAAAATCCCAAATACCACCGAGTGTCCGCCTCGGGATGCTGGCTTTTGGATTCACGTCCACGCGATAAGCAAAGCAGGTATCAGGTATCAGACACGCAGGCAACAATAAAATAAGCAGTGCAGATGATGGCATTTAGCTGCTAAATAATAGACAAAAAACAAAACCAATTTTCTAATCAGACTGAAAAAACGAAATCTTATCTCCCGTGGTGAGCTCCTGTTGGGCCTCCCAGCTGCATCTCAACATAAAGTATTATTAAAGGGCCTTGAAGAGGCTCCGTCTCTGTGTTACCACTAACAGAGGTGTCATTCGTGGGAAGACAAGAAAATGTTCAGCATAAAATAAAAAAATGGGGTAAAGGCAGAAGTTCCATCAACTGGAGGCTGTGGAGGCCTAATCTGCTAATTCAGGTCTTTCTGTGTTAGTGGGCCCAAAGGCAGCTACGCAATGATCTCATTATTTCAGTGACTGTGATTTGAAATCTTTATTTCCAAAGCAGCTCCAGGGTCACCAAGCGCTGTCAGACTACAAGCCAGGCTCGACTCGCTAATTAAACCGCAGGGACCACATTTGGCCTTTGTTATCAATCGATGATGCTTACTACCAAACGACTTTGTGATTAATCACATGCAGAGCTGTGAAACAGTATCTGACCCTGATTTCTTTTTTGGTCGCTGTTCGCATGTTTGTCACTTCTCTGTTTCAGATCATCAGACTTTCTGATTCTAATATGATTTAAAAATAACCCGTCTGAATACAAAATGTACTTTTATATGAGGAATGATGATTTTATTTATTGTTGGAAAACGTTAAACCTACCTGGACCTGTGTGAAAAGGGGACTGCCCCCCTAAAGCTAATAACTGGTTGTGCCACTCTTGGCAGCAACAACTGAAATCAAGTGTTTGCAATAACTGCCAGTGAGTTTAACTTCTCTGTGGAGCAACTTTTCCATCAGGACTTACATCGGCCAGTCAAAAAATCTTCATGTTTTTTACCATTTAGAGGTGGACTTGCTGGTGTCCTGCTGCATAAAACCACTGTAGAGCTGAGCATTCCCGGGAAGGTTCACCACTGTGCCAGGTTTTCTTGGTGGACGGCGTTATGGTTTCCCAAAGCCTTTGACATTGTAACCCTGTCAAGCGTCCTTCTTTCACCTGTGTCCTGATGCTTTCCTTGTAGCCTGCGTCACTTTGTCAGACGCCTTCTGTGTAATGGAGTTTTTGATTGAACAGGTCTGACCTGAAACAGGTGAACGTGACAAATATGCAAACAAAAAAGAAACAAGGAAACACTTTTACTTTTTCACACTGCTGTACACGACGGTTTGTCTGCTTTCAATACAAGTGTGAGCAGTTCTGTTGAATCCGCGGCCATATTGCAGGTGGTGGTGATGTCACACATGTTGCTCAGACGGAGGAGAAAAACACGATATAAGAAACGGCCCGTTTTACACAAATGACTTATTACTTGACAGGATGACGTTATTTTCAGAGCAGCGCGTTCCCATTTATGTTGGAAAGTGGAAATGATGTCGCGTACCTGCCTGTGATAGCAGCTAAACTCGATGAGCTTTCTGCGTTTGGGGCAGACGGCGCTCAACGTAAGAGGTAAACGGATTTTCCAGTTTCTGCCTGGTGTCACCTGTACCAGCCTTACAACGAGCCCTCTTCAGACCAGCCAACAGGTGCTACAGTCAGACACCTGCAGGAGACTCACAACACTGCTGTGTGTGTTCAGCCTACGACCTCCGAGGGACAGCAGCTGGACTGTGCTGAGATCAAACTGCAATTTGAAAACGCCAGATTTAAGTCCTAACGCCGGGCTCTGCTCCACCTAATGTACATTAGTGTTTTCTATCAATGACAGTGATGTCTGCTGGTCGTTAATCGTACTGAAAGTAGAGTAGACTTGTGTGTAAGTTGCTTACAAACCAGCAGTGCCACGACCCCCCCGAGGCTTCTGTCAGTATTTTCTTTCACTCTGAGTTCTGACTCTGCAGTTCTCTTGGTCACAAACGGGCAGAGTTCAAGTTCTCCAATAAACAAACAAAACTAAGTAAACAAAAACCCATCAAATCAATGGCGACATTATTTAAAGTTTTAGCCCAGAAAGCTCAGCACTCTGAGCACGTCTGTTTCTAACATACTGAAACTGGTTTCTCCACAAAATCCAATTAAAGGAGAAAAATAATGATTTTTTTCAGTATATAGCAGTAATATCGAATTTAGCCACATTATTACAGCTTTGGCGGTGCTCATCAATATTCCTTCAATCTGATTTCAGCTTGTCTCACTATCAGCTGTGGTGCATTTTGGTGTAAGTGCCTCTCAGTGCGTTATGAAACAGCAGGCGACAGCTAAAAACCATAATGCAGTGGTTGGAGTTTAGCCTTCAGCTTTCTATGTGAAGGCTAAACACATGTTTGGTCATTTTTGCATTTCTAGCTCTGTTTGTTAAATTATTCTCCAGAACCTGAGAAAAGAAAAATGTTCTGGACGTCAGCGTTTCCTTTGCTCTCTGTTCAAAGGCTTCTGTACCTGATACACAGAGTCGGTAAGAAGCTTTAAACAACACGAACATGTGTATGTGTATATAAATGAACTGAATTTGTATGAAAAATTCATGGTTTTCAGAGTGTATATATCATTTTACATAGATGAGACCTGAGGTGGGAGACAGTCTGCATCCAGGTGAAGCTGGGGAGGGCACAGGTATCACGATAAAGTAATTACCCCCTTCCTGATATCTTCATTGGTTTTGGCATATTTATCACACTTAAACATTTCAGACCATTAAGCAGATTGTGATATTAGATAAAGATAATCAGAGTAAATACAACCTAATAACTCGTTGTGCCGCCCTTGGCAGCAAAAACTGCAATCAGGTGTTTGCGACAGCGCCCACGGTTTGAAGAAGTTTGTTTCAGCCACATTGAAAGTCTTTGACGGCATCCACAGGGTGGAGCAGTGTGTCTGTTACACTCTTTGCTGGGTTGAATTATCTGAAGTCATCCAGGTGCTGAAACCCAGAACAGCACACTACCTCCAGCACGTCTGGCTGCTGCAAGTGTGTTAATGTTCGGCCAAATTCAACGAGAAGCTTCAAATGTCTCACAGCTTCACAGAATATTATCCCCAAAGTCTTTATTTTATTTATGCTTTAGATAAATGTAACATCAGCCTTTGTTTTATTCCAATTACACGATTGCAGTTCTTGCTGCTGAAGGTGAAACAATCACTTATTTGGGGGGCAGAGGAGGACCTTTGATTCTCTTTTCACTTAATCAGTGAAATTATCTTTAAAAACTGCATTTTGTATTTACTCAGGTGATCTTTATCTAATATTAAGATTTGTTTAATGATCTGAAACATTTAAGTGTGTTAACTCTGCTAATAATAATAATGATGATGATAATAACCCTAATAATAGGACTTCACATTAATAGGACACTTTTACATCAGGTGGCATTACTGACTGACTTTGTCTCTCTCCTCCTTTATGAGCTCGTCGTTCTGTATTTTGCAATCACGTCTGGTAAAGTATTTATTATGTGTGCAATATCCAAGTCTGAGTAATCTGAACATGATTTAGTGCCTATTGCTTTGGAGATGAGTGAACTTTAATGACGACGAGTGTCGGTGTGTCCGTGACCAGTGCGTGCAGCGTAGATGATTGTAGAGGAAAGGCGGCGGCGGCGGCGACGTAACAGAATTATGACCTGTTTGTTTCATTTGGCAGGCAGCAAACATGCTTTGCTTTTTTTCATAATTTCAGTACAGATTAGAAAGATGTTTTGTCAAGAAATGCTTGTTTCTAATGCACTTTGGTTAAATATATCTGTTTACTATATTTAAGATTTTTAGTTTCATTGAGAACAAAAGATTTTATTCAACCTTCTCACAGCAGCTGAAGGAAATTTGAGTGAAACAATACTGACACGTCTGCATGTCCAGCAGCGTGTTACCTCAGCGCTGTCCAACTCTTTACAGGCTGAAGGACAAAGAACATATTGCAAAGCAGACTGATAATGATACCTGTCATGTACCCGGCACAAACGATGGTGTTAAAGCTAAAGCTGTATGAAGGAGTTTAAAGCCTTTGAACTTTCACTTGCAGCACTGATTGTCTGGAGGAAGTTCAAAATGTGCACTTTGCTAAAAAGACGGTTTTACTGAAAAACACTTTAAAATGTGTTAAATATGCAAAAAAGTGCAGAAAATGTCCACATTATTTGGCTCGTTCTTCTCAGTGTCTCAGCTCTGCTGTTAGGAAGTGATTTAAACTGAAACTTGTGTAATTTTGTTGCACGAACCCTTAAAAGCAGTTTTCTGTTGTGTTTGTGTCGAGACTGTCTCTCTGCCTTACATATTCCAGATGCTGATGTTGTTATTATATTATATGTGGTATATGGTATGACATTGTCTAAGGCAGAGCATCCAGAGAGAGTAGGGTACACAGACTTTACCAGTGGCCTCCACTCCGGCTCTGAATTTATCTCCACTCAGGGTCTCTCTTACTCCTCCCCCGTGAAGGAATAAGACAGGCTGGATCTGACACATCTAATTGAGTTCAACTGCATTTATATGGCGCCAAATTAACAACAAGTGTTGCCTTAGCATGTTCTTTATATTGTAAGATAAAGACCAATAATACACAAGTTAAAGGGGACTAACCCTCCAGCAGAACCAGGGTGAGGGAGGTGCACAGGAAAACCAATACACCCACGTGGAAGAGAGGCAGAGATGAAAAATAACTAATGATTAAACGCAGAGTGGTGTATTAAAGATGAGCTAAAAAGAAACATTGCATCATGGGAAGCCCCAGCAGCCTTGGCCTATTGCAGCAGGGTTTGGGGTCACCTTAAAGCCTGTCCTTTAAAAGACAGCATTCTCCCCTGGCAAGCAAGGCTGATACGCAATCACCACACTGAATTCTACTCAGTGCTCTCGGAGCTTCCCACCCCAAGAAGGATGGGACGTCATGGCCTGTGACAATCCTTTGTTTCTGCAGGAAATGCTAGTTAGGGTTGTAGGTTCCCTTCAGCTCGGTACTAGTGGCAGCAGTCTGTGTTGCTCCCTACAAAAACTGCCACAGGATTCTTGTCACACTTAAGGGACCTCATAGGGTCATGCTTTACCATGTTCCCTACACCATCTGGTGACCAGCTGGCCCTCTGTGGGATTTGGACAGTGCCGATGGCCTTCCATGAGCCATTGTAGCACCTGTAAATGGTGGAGTCTTTGTGAATAATGAAGCAAAGGCTAGTGGACCACTGTTGTGAGGGTAAACCTTCTTGGTCCCAGGCCCACAACCACGAACCATTCAGGTCCGTGAAGATGAGGTAGAAATCCCTTACTGGGTACCAGGTGGGAATCAAGCTTGCAACTCCCACTGCAAAGGTGTGTAATAATAATGGATTGCATTTATATAGCAAAACCCTCAAAGCACTTTACAATTCCACTATTCATCCACACACTGGAGGAGGCAGCTACAGTTGTAGCCACAGAAGGGAGGCTGCCATATTGCGCCATCAACACCAGTAGGTGAAGTGTCTTCCCCAAGGACACAACGACCAGGACAGACAGAGCAGGGGATCAAACCGGCAACCTTCTGGTTCCAAGATGAGCTTCCCGACCCCCTGCAGTCTCACCACTACACTACAGCTGCACTGACTTAAGCTGCATCTTATACATACATGTATGTGGGATAAAGAAGGTGGAGAGATAGTCTCTTTACTAAGGGAACTTGGGTTACAATGTAACCAATTGTTCTGTGGGGAGAGGACATTCATCCCGTTAAACTGATTCCAGTTAAACACACGAGTGTAAATGGAGCAGAAACTGGCTGCACTGTACCAGGATCAGTCTGTGATTGCTGCGTCTGCACAGCTGAAGTCCTGTTGGCTGAGACACACATTCAGCTATCTGCAACTGAGAGAAGTTTCATGTTTAGCAGAGAAAAGAAACTTTTGCTCAAATCGTTGATTTTTTCTTTTCAATATTATTGTTTTTTAATGAGTGTTCATTGGTGTTTATAGATATCCATAAAATGACAGACATGTTGTTGCCTTGGCTTTGTTTCTTTTATTTGTTTGCTGCTTATCATAGTTTACCATAGTACTCTAAATGATATATTTTATACTATTTTTGTATTGTTTCCTTGTGCCAGTAATCTCTGAAACACTTGCATATGTATACAGTGTTGTTGGAAACGCTCCCTCACAGTGTTTGAGGGGATTTGCACATGAAGCTTGAGACTAATACTTAGCAGGACCATATCTAGATTAAACTAA